ATAGCAAAAATGAGGGAGACAGGTCATTCCAATGTGGAAGTTGAGGATCAAGCTTTGTCCGAACTATCGACCGAAGAGATCAAAGATTCTATCATAAAATACGGGAAAACAGTTGCGGGACTCAAACAGTCAATCACGAGATCTCGTAAACTCGTGTACAAGGCAGCTAATGATCCGAACATTCTTGAATTTGCTCCACATATGATAGCATATCAATTGACATTAATAGAGTCCGCGATATTTTTAGAGATTGATCCACAATCTTTACTCACCCACTCACCCAAAAATCCCGATCCCAAAATAACAGCATCCACAGACTTTTTTAACTATCTGACACGTGTAGTGGAACGCTCCATTCTATTGTCCTTGGAGGCATCATCACGTGCACAGACAATTAATCATTGGGTTAAGGTCGCGGTCAAATTGCATGAATTACACAATTTTCAGACTTTAAAAGCCATTCTTGCTGCGCTAGGAACTCCGCCGATAAAAAGATTAAAGAGAACCTGGGCATGTATTCCAAAAAAAAGTATGGTGAGGTTGGAAAATTTGAATGAGCTGATGAGTGAAACCAGGAATTATGAGAAATATCGTGAAACGATACAACGAGATGGATTCCTAAGGAAACCTACCGTACCATTTCTAGGGACATTTATTATGGATGCCACATATTTGTTGGCTGCTGTTAAGACTGTTGGCTCGTCCAATTCTTCGGTACCAGCAAATGTGCAATCTCCTCGTACTACAACGGCTCCGATGTCTCCGGTATCATCTCCGACAAGCACCCAGGTTTTGCATGATGACCCTCGCATCCAAGAATTGTTGCAGACCCTGTGTCGATATCAAAATGGACCGAAATATCATCCAAATCCACCGGCATCATATATAAAAGCGTCAACAAAACATCATTTTCGTACAGCCAGTATTAGCGCTGCTTTACACCGTAGCGGAAGTAAATACAACCACCGAAATGATGACGATGATGAAACGATAGAAGAGAAGCAACAATTGATTACTCATTATATGTTAACGCGAGTGTGGATTCCCGAAAGAAGCGTAGATGAATTAAGTTCTCAACGTGAACCACATGTGCCCAAATTCTACAGTGGTCGAACATCAAATCCTGCATCCTGGGGTGGAACTCCAAGTAACATCTCTAATACAAGTGTCGCATATCGAGGCAGTACTGGAAGTACTGTGGGTGGAAGTGGCACAAGTACAGGTGGAAACACCAGTACAAGCAGTGGAATGGGTCGTACAAGTTCAACAAGTGGTAGTGGTGATTCGAGACCACAAAGTTTAGAAGATGGGATAGATGTAACTTCGACAAATATAAGGTCGGATAAGGCTGGGCCCACTCCAGATAAGGAAAGTTGCAATGTAAAAGAAAAAGAAAAAGAAAAAAGAAATATCACCGAAAAAGTTGGTAACTTCTTTTTCGGCTCTCGTGGTAGTATAGATAAAACACGTGATGAAAAAGAGAAGGAGGAAAAGACGAAACAAGGCGAACTCGAAAAGGACACTGGAGCTGTGGATGATGAAGGTACCGAAGAATCCCCCAAAAATAGTCCCGAGTCAATAATTGCAATGCCATTTAGTGGTAAACGAAATAGTTGGCGGATAGGTATGAGAGTGATGTTCGGAGGAAATGAAACTGGTGAATCGCCTAAAACTCATACTACCATGTTGAGATCTGCATCACATTCGCGGAGTTCATCTAATACTGCAGTGACTCCGAAGAGTCATATTGTTTCGAAAATTCATGGACGTCCCTCGTCAGTCAACTCATCGGATGCAAAACCTTTCACTTACACAAGCAAAGCATCATTACGTAGGTCGTTAGAAGAACCACACTCCTCAACGCCGCCACCTTTATTTCCTAAACCAGTAAGTTTAACGCGTAGTGCCAGCACTTCATCAGCAACTAGCATGGGCTCAAGTGCCAGTGCTAACGGGACCCTATCAAGCACACGGAATAGTATTGGCAATGGAAACTTATTACACGGAGGAACCAACATCGATGGATTAGAAGATATTCGCATTGCTTTGGCAAAAAAGGTGGCAAGTGAGGTCGCAGCTGGTGGTGGAACTGTAGAGAGGAACTGGAAATGATGAGTTCCATTTTCTTAACTTTTTGTTACTGGATTAAGTTGAATATATGTGACAGTGTCACTATATATTATTGTTGACACTCAGAGAGTAACAAATAATATATGCACAAGTTTACATGATATCTGACGTCATCATTATACCTTCCTCACGATCATCTTTGAAAAAAAAAAAATCTTATTCATTTTACAACACGTTATTTTACATACTTTTCATTGTCCATATGTTATTTTTCCACGCATGTATATTTGTTATAAAAGATCAATCCATTTCTTTTCCTCATTTTATATCTATACTCATTCATTTATCCCACCCATCACAACGGACTATATTTTTTTTTAACGAACTTTGGTTTGTTTTGCTTCACTTAAAATTATCCTTTTTTTTTTTTTTAATTACCTGCCAATTGGTTGGTAATTAGTTGTAAATAATTTTTCATTTTCCACATCAAAAATTTTTGTGTATTTATTTTTTAAGAAAAATCACTTCTCAAGGGTTCTTTTGATTATGGTATATTTTGCTTTTTTCTTTTTCCGTGCGCATTTACATTTATAACTATACTGGGTGGATTTTAAAACGCGGTCAAAATCGAGAAGTCTATTAACTATGAATATCATGAATTTGATGATTTTCTCATGTAAATATTGAATTTATGATTTGTCAACTTTTGATATTAGTTTTTGGAATTGGTTTATTAGGAAAATAGGGTGAAAATACTGAGATTTGTAAAATATTGAAAAAGTATATTGAAAAATAAAAAAAATAAAAAAAATTTTTTTTTTCTGGTAAATGATGATAAATTCAATTGGAATTCCAGTTTTATTGACTAATTTAAAAATCTAATATTTGGCTTAAAATTTAATTTACTGTATATATACAGTATATAAGTAAAGAATTCAAACAAAAAAATAAATTATAGATATGCATAAAAAAATTTTTTTTATAATAATTTTTTTTAACAAAAAAATATAATTGCTGATTTACTTTTTAATTTAATTTTAACTAAATATATATATATATTTTGATATTACTTTATATAACAATATTATTTTTAATCAAATCCATACAAATCATTTAATAACTTGTGATATATGTTATTACATTATATACCGTAATTAAAACATTTATCAATAATCAATTAATTTGTTTTTTTTTTAAAAAAAATCATTAATTTGAAACATATAATTTTTTTAAATATGAAATATCAATAATAATAATAATCAAATGACAAATAGATGATTTTTGATATTACCCGTTATTTTTTAATATTTACATTCATAAATTTTAGTCATTCACATCCAATTGTTGAATTTTTATTTTATTAATTAATAGCAAAATCTATAAATTATTTCGAGTGTATACTGATTCGTGATATTATAATTATATTAAGATTGAATATTGATTACTATACATTTTTTATTTAAAAGATCTAATAATTTTTGTGGTAAAAATTTATTAAGAAAAATCTTTGAAAATCAGAATTTCTAAATTATCTGATATAAATTGTTTTATTATATTATAATTCGAGCATTTAATGAAAAACCATGAAGTTATAAATTTAATTTTCGATAATTAAAAATATAGTATTAAAATATTAAATGCATTTGCTTAATTCCAACTCAGACTTATTTATGCTGTTTATTATTGTGAATTTTTTACTAAAATCCTTTTTTTTTAATAAATTAACTTTCTTAAAGCAGCTTCTTTTTTATTTGTATATTACTAACACAGTGTATAGAAGATATGGTTAAAGTGCTCGTTGATAAATTTTTTTGAAAATTCGATCTTTTACGAAAGAAAAAATTTTATTGATTCGTTCGATCAAACTTAAATTTTAGATGGATATAACATCTTTTAAAAAAAAAAAATATATATATCTATGAGTTAAGTCATACATCGACATTATAAAATAGAATTCTTGTACTCACAATTCGAACGCTTGCACCGAAACTTTTTGGCGGGAGGTTATTTCTGAATTTTGCCCTCACGACACCACCATTACCATGCGGTCTAAAATTTCCAATTATGTTAATTATTTTCAAATCACAATAAATAGAAAGATGTAAAGTACCTAGTTACACGGCCCCAGATTACGCGGATTTTACTTCCATTTTTCTTAAATGAAAATTTTTTAGATTCAAAGTAGTTGTGACATGCGGATATTACAGATCTATATAGATTTATTATTTATACCTCACGCTTTGCACGATAAACATAGGCTACACGTTTACCCAAATAGAATTGTGTTTCCTCTTTAGACGATACACCTTCAATTTTGATTAATGTCGTATTAGGTGATTGATTATGTTTAGCACGTTTGTAGCCGAGTACGCGACCTTTGGAATATAGACTGATTGTGATTTGTGAGAATTAAATCGTAAAATTTTTCAATATCAGCTTAGGGCTCACGAAGGTATTTATTTTTCATTGACTTGATGAATAGATCAATGACATACCGAACTGGTTGTCCAGACATTGTAAAAGTTTCAGTGCACAATGTAAAAGGAAAAGGAATTACATCAAACCACCGCCTTTTTTTTTATATACCGGCATGTTTTTTTACGTTCTACCCAATCAAATTTCAATTTAACTTTACCGGACGAGATTTTTTTTCACCCAATCATTTATCGTTATACAATATTTGATCTCAATTGTATAACTTAACAGTTAATCGCTTTTTTCGACTTCTAATTGTGAATTTGATTTTTCTTGGCTTTAACCACCTTAATCGATTATGTGATTAAATGAAACTAAAACTAAAGGTGAAAATTTTTTCAAACATACACAATTAATTACCCAGCAATAACTATAACTCATTATCAATCTTTGCAAATTGTAAATTCTTAAGACGGCAATGACGAGTAGTATAAGTAAAAATGTTTTTATTTAATTATATTTTTTTAATATTGAAAAATAGAATATGTAAAAGATATTTTAATTTAATTTAATAAAAAAAAAAATTCAAAAATATCTATTTATTAATAAAATACAAAATAATTTAAATTTTATTTTAAAAAAAAATTAAACAATTAAAGTTATAATAACGGTTATTAAAATTAAAATAAACATGTTTAAATAAAGATTTCATAATTTCAATAATAAGAAATTATGATTAGAAAAACATTTTAATTAGAAATATTTAAAAATATTTAATTCTTATATAATTTTAGATATTATGTTTATTTAATTTAAAACACTTAATTATTAATATATTCAATATTCTTTTTAACAATCAAACTTATCAATTAACTTTTGGATCTTAATAATTCTTTAAACTTAATTATAATTAATTGCTTATATAGGTTTACAAAAAGTAAATAATTATTATAACCATCTATTTATTAATTTATAAATGCTTTCAAATCTTAAAATAAATATTCTTTATATATAATTTTATTAGTTTTTTCTATTTATATTATATTTAAAACTTTTTATGATTAATTAATTAACTTTTAATTATATTATATCAAAAAATTAATCTTAATTTAAAATAGTTAAGCTATATAAAGATTAAAACTTTAAATTTTTTAATTATTATAGAATTAAAAAAATTGTATTATAGAAAAAATTGTATTAAATAATACAATAGGTAATACTTTTCTGATTTTCAAATATATGTTTCTAGTTCAATACCCATAGGAGACAAAACATATAAATTTATCTTTTATTTGTAAGTTTATCAGTTTTCTTACAAATGTTATATCTAAATATCTAGATTCAAACTTAAATTAGTTAGACTGTATGAAAATAAGACCTTTGGTCTTTCTATTGATCATGGGCTAAATAAAACAAGTCAAAACAAGAAAGTAAGTAAAATAAAAGTTATAATTTTTAATAAAGAGAAAACAAAAAATACAGGATTTGTCTAGTTGTTCTTGTTAAAAGATCTTTTTAGTTAATTCTGGATTGTTTAAATGTAACTGATTATACAAATAATTAATTTGTTCAAACATTTAATAATTTATTATAAATCTTTTATTATTGATATTTTCTTTATTAGATTTTGAATTCCCAATTACAAACTGCTTGTTGTTATAAAAATCTTCAATACTGAACAAAGTTTTCATATTCTTTTTTAAGATTCATTTCTTCATAATTTCTTTAATATTAATAAATTGTATCTTACAGTTATCACCAATTTGTTATATATATTATTCTATCTCAGAAGAAAGATATAGATTGAAAACTAGTAACAAAAAGATACTTTATATAAATGAATCAATGTAGTATGTTAAAGTTTATAAAGGTGTACTAAAATTAGTATAGTTTTAAGATATATAAGATTAAGTAAAAGAAACAATAGTGAATTTTTTTTGTAAAGGTCAAATTATTTTATTAATAAAAAGGAAATTTAATCTTGTAATCCCAAAAAAAATTAAAAGTATTTATATATATATTTTTGATATATAATTGAATATATAATAGATATGCTATTTGAGTTATAAAAAAAATATTATCTTTATCAGAACAGTTGATTATATGTGTTTTCATAAAGAAAAATACTTAGATGAAGAGAAATAATTAAAGATAAATAAGAGAAATAAGAAATATTCTAAAACAAAAATAGTATGAAAAGTACAATGCTTGAAAATAATAGATCAGTTATACCAAAATTATTCTAAAATAGAAAATATTTCAAGAATAAATAATACTAAAAATTGAATAAGAAATAATAAAGATCTGGGAAAAAATCAAGTGTAACAGTATTTATATAATACCTATTTAATATCTGTATTAAGATCTATTCAATTTTAGAGTTTAAAATTAATAAACTTGTAATATATAGCTTAATTAGATATAAAAAAAAAATTAAAGGAAAAATATAGTTTTTAAATATATGTTTAAATAAATAGAATAAAAAATATAAAGAATAGTATATATATAATTTTAGTAATTTTTTTGAAAAATCATATGTATAATTAATAAAATAATAAAAAAAAAGAAATAAAATAAGACCAGTGAATCAAAGTATAGTGAATAGTGCTCTCTAATTTTCAAATATATATCTTTAGTTCAATACTTATAGGAAACAAAACATATAAATATATTTTTCATTTGTGAATTTTATCAGTTTTTCACAAATATCATATTCAAATATTCAGATCATAACCAAATTCAATTAAGTTGTATAAAAATAAAACCTCTGGTTTTTTTGATAATCATAGGGTGAAAACAAGTCAAAGCAGAAAAAGTTATGTAAGAAAAGACTTCTGATTTAACTTTGATAAAAGTCTTATTACCTCTTATTATTAGAAAATAAGTTAACATAAAAAAGATTATCAATGTGAATACCATCTCTGGATAGATTATAATCAGTTATAAGGATTTTCCTATAGGAGTTATGTCTTGTTTAGTATTTATACCTCTAGATTTAATAGTCAAACTTTCTTTCTTAGAATATTTATTAGAAGATAATAGGAGTCACATCTCACTTAATATTTATGCTTCTAAATTTGATAGTTTATGTCAATTAATAAAAGTAAGTTCTTAGAGCACTTATTAAAAAATATATATATTTGAATGCTTTCTAATTCTAGAGATTGATAAGTTAAAGACATAATGTAAAAGGTATCTTATCGAATAATAATATAAGCCTTATAAGAAAAAAACTTTTTAATCTTAAATTACTTGAGTATATTATTTTCTCAAAGATTTAAAATAAAAAGTATCAAGATATCTAATTGTTTTACTTATTTCTGCAAGGTAAATCTATTCTTTGACAAAAACAGATTAACAGATTAAATAATTTAAACTAATAATAAAATTTTTATCCTCTAATTAATCTTATTATAATATATATAAGCCTATTTATAAAGTGTAAATTTATAGTTAAGATTAAGAAGTAGAATAGATTATCATTTAACTGTAGTTTAGTATTACAAATAATATACAATATATTGTTATAATTATGATAGTGAATAGTATTAGTTCTATTTTTAGAATAGTTTGATTTATTATTTCATTATTATTATTATTATTACTATTTTTATCTTATAGTTAGTATATGTCATAATCGGTATATTAGTTATATATAGTATAGGATAGATATAGTTATAGTAGATCATATGGATATGACATTTCTGCTAAGTATAGCTGATATGAGAGATTAAGTGGATTCAGCAGACATGATAGAACTGACATATCTATACTATTGTTTACATTATTTTCTTATAATTCAAAGATATATAAATAGGACAGCTAAAGATGGGTCCCTAAAGTATTTAGCATATAAAATTTACGTCCCTTTACGTCCACGTCCCCTAGAGGACATA